CTTTGCCGCTGAGCTAAATCCCCAGCCCTGGATTGCATCTTATTCTACAATAAAAGTAATAATTTTTCTGATTTTAGAAGTTAAAAAATAGAGCAGTATAGTTTGCTTGAAGTTTTATTAACAGTACCTCTTACCGCTGGAGGCACAGCTTTCCCAGGTAATTACCATTTATAAGTTATTTAATAGTGGTGTTTAGATAATGTGGAATGTGCTACATTGGGAACACCAGGTATCTGTAACTGGTTTCTTTGTAGGAACATAATTATTTTTCATCTCTTTAATTTGGAAAGAATCTCTCTTTTTCCTGAGAAAAGGCACAATGTTGTTTGGAAAAGACATATTTGTAAGCATAAATATCCTATTATAGGTATGTAACCAGTTAGTTTTTTTGCTGACATGTGAACAGGTACTTGTTAAACTGTGGAAGGAACTGATTGCTTGTCAGAGCTACGCCGAGAAGCTTTCGGGCTCTGTGTACCATTCATAAAAATGGGTAGGGGCTGCCTTGTTTTCTCCTAGAGCAAAGAGTGCCCATGTTAGAAATTAAGAATCTGATTATGAACAGCATAGTCATAGAGTTCTTAGGATATTTTTTCATAATATAAACTTACGGACATGGGACTAACTAAAAGTTTAATGTTCCAGAAGCTATTATTTTCATTGTTTTGTTAGAGAAAGACCTACTAATTAGCATGTTTGATGTGTTTCCTCTTACAGCAAGAATACTCCTGTGGGGAGAGGAATATTGCAGGCATATTTTGGCCTTTTGCCTCCTCTGCCTCTTCTGGTTCTGGTGAATGTGCATTCAAGTGGCCGAGTGTTTGCATTTCCTTCAGACCAGTCCATAACGGAAGAAAACTTTGCATTGTGGCTTAAGAAATTAGAAGCTGGACTAGAAAATCCTATCAGTAAGTTTTCTCTTAAAACACACAATTTTGTATTTTGTTGGATAGATTGAAAATTTTAATTATAGCTAATGAATGCTAGGAGGAGTTGAACTGTAACGTTTATAAGTATCTTAGATATTGATATGTTGATAGCATTGCCTGTGATGGCAGGGTGTGTCCTAGAGGGCAAGGACCCAGTTGGGGACAGTTACTCACCTAGGAAACCATCAACTTGTCGAAGGCCTCTTTCTTCTTCTGAATTTTAATTCCTTAAATCCATATTGCTTCTATAGATTGTCAGTGTCTTCAAACATGTGATTTTTACAGTTTATCCAGTTTAAAAAGTTGTTATAGTTGGAACACTGACCTACTGAAGCATGAGTCCTTTGTGCTACTTAGAAAACTTAGAGTTGCGCATGTCCCAAGACAGTTCTAGGTCGCTTTCTTATGTGTGTGCCAGGTTTTTCTCAATACCTATAATCACATATATTGTTTTGTAGAAAGTGAGAACATTTTACGTAAAATGGATTCTAAATATCCTCCAAATGAGCATCTCCAACAGAGGCTCCCTCTTAGTCTCTCCTTTAAGACTTTTTATTATTATTTTTGCTTTTGTTGATCAGTGGGTTGGCCTTTACATTATAGGCCAGTTACTTTATAGAAAGTTAAATAATATTTCATGAGCATGTGCTCTCTTCTAGGCGTAGTGCTAAATATATGTCAGGGATTATCTGATTTTTTTCTCACAACAACCCAAGAGTTCTGAATGTGGTCATTGTACTTTTTTTTTCAGATGAAAAAAATCGAGATAGAGGTTAAGTACCTTGTCAAAGGTTATTCAACTAATAAATATTAGGGTAGGGGGCCAGGGATATAGCTCAGTGGCACAGTGCCTGCCTGGCAAGTGCAAGATCCTGAGTTGGATTCCTGGTTCCCAAATAAATAAATATGTACATACTAGGGTAGGGGTTCCCACTAAACAGTCTAACTCTAGAGCCCCTACTCATAACCACATTGCCTAATCTATCTGTGTTAGTTTATAAACAGCTTAAAGAAGGAAAAATATATTTTCACTTACATCTGCAAGAGGTTCATGGTTCACAGTCACTGGTCCGTGGTCCACTAGCTCCGGGGGGAGGCAGAACATGGTGGCAGAAGTGCATGGTAGAGCAAAGCTGCTCACTACATGGCAGCTGGCAAACAGAGAAGGAACGGACTAGGGACAAAATATAGTCCCCAGCATCATGCCTCTCTGACCCATCTCTGACTTTCTAGTAATGCCATCAAGTTATGGATGCTGTTATGGCTTGTATCTAGATGTCCCCCCAAAGCCTAGATTTTCGGAGGTGGCTGAGCCAAGGATGGGTCAATATGGATTAAAGGTATGATAACTAAATTAGTCCACAGATTGGTGTAGCACAGTTCTAGGTGTGGATAATGGAAAGGCCCACCCTGGTGTGGATGGCATCATCCAGTAGGCATGAAGCGTGGACGAGATAAAAATCTGAAGGCTTGGTGCTTCCTGCTTCCTCCTTGGACTGTTTATCCTCCATGATGCCCCTCTACGATGCTACCCTGCCTTGGAGCCAGTCGACTAGGGACTGAAACCTCTGCAAACTGTGAACTAAAATAAAAATTTCCTCCTTTAACTTGTAGGTACTGGGTATTTTGTCTCAGTAAGGAGAAAAGTAACTAAGACAGATTTATCAGTGGACTGATGAATCCATGCGTCCACTTAGGAAGTTAGAACCCTCATGACCTGTCAGGATTCCAACAGTCCACCTCAAAATAGGATGTTTTCAGGGGACATTTTAGATCTAAACTGTAACATTAGCAAATGTGTACTATTGCTTTTTAAATTGACTTTCTAATCAAGTAATTGAAATAGTCTGTGTAGTTACCAGTACTGTCAGATAAGAACCAAGTTTGCAGTGATTTTACTTAAACTCCATACTTATTCTAAATATTTGAGGGAAGCATTTCTGTGTAATGAAATAGTATTCTCATAAGTATTATTTTATATTTAACTTGAATGATTAAAATAACAGCTAAGGAAATTGTTTTATTGCCAGGCAGGGTGGTGCATGCCTGTAAACCCAGCACTCAGGAGGCTGAGGCAGGAGGATTGTTGCTGAGTTGGAGACCAGCCTGGGCTACAAAGTGAGCTCAAGGCCAGCCTGAACAGTGTAGCGAGACCCTGTCTCACAAAGTTCAAAAAAAAAAAAATTAAAAATACAAAGTTGTTTTATTAATTCTGTTATGTAGTCTACATACAAAGCTGATGTGGTGGGTAACACCACAGTAACATTTATAGAAGGCTTACAAGTTGTCCACCACATGGCCAAGTGACATCATTAATTATCATTTAATTCTCATTAAGAATCGTATGAAACATTACTCACAGAAGAATGAACAAAGTAACTAACACAAAGTCCTAATTAACCAGCCAATGGGGAAGCTTGGATCCCAGCCTCTTTTACTCTAGAGCCAAAAATTTTAATTGTCAGATGAGAAACTATATATTTATGCTGTACAGCATGATGTTTTGATATATGTACACATTGTGGAAAAATTAAATCAAGTTAATTAACATACCTGTCAGATATGCATCATTTCCTTGTGATGAGAACATTCAGACGTTACTCTGTTGAAATTGTTCGCATATATAATACATTATTATTTATTGAAGTCACCATGCAGTGCGACGGATCTCCACAACTTACTTCTCCTGTCTAACCAACTTCATCTCTCACACCAGCATCTCTTCATTTCTTGCCCTGCTCTGCGCCCAGCCTTTGGCAACTACCATCATGCTCTGCTTCTCTGAGTCTGGTTATTGTAGATTAACGTCCTTACAAGTGAGATCATGAGGCGTTTGTCTGTTTGTGCCTGGTTTATTTTACTAACCATAGTATCCTTTGGATTCATTCATATAGTTGCAAATGACAATCTTTTCCTGACTTTTTAAGGCCGAATAGCATTCTGTTGTAGACCTGTACCACAGCCTCGTTATCCATTCAGCCTTTCATGGACACAGGTTGATTTCATGTCTTGGTATTAATAATGCGGCAGTGAACTTGGAGCGCACCTGTCTCTTTGAAATACTGATTTTTAATTCCTTTGGATATGAACCCAGAAGTAGAATTTCTGGATCATATAGCAGATCTATTTTTTAATTTTTAAAAGGACTTTTGTACTATTTTCCACAGTGGTTTTACTAATTCACATTTTCACCCAGAATATGCAAGGGTTTCCTTTTATTCACATCCTTACTAATATTTACTTTTTGTCCTTTTCACAAAGTTTATTCTTATAGGTGTGATGATTGTAGAAAAGTGTTCAGGTCCTTTGCTAATTTTTTAGTTGGGTTGTTTTCTTGCTGTTGAGTTGCTTATATATTTTGGATATTCAGCCCTTATTGTATGTGTGGTTTGCAGAGATTTTCTCCCATTCTGTAGTTTGTTCACTCCATTGTTTCCTTTGCAGTGCAGAAGCTTTTGCCTTTGATAAAAGCAGTCCTTTTGGTCTAGCCCTGTTGTTGTTTGTGCTTCTGGATCATATTTTTTAAAAACCAAAAAAATTGCAAAAACCAATGTCAAGAGGCTCCTCCTATGTTTTCTTCTAGTAGTTTAATACCTTTTTTTTTTTTTTTTTTTGTCTTTTTGAGACAGGGTCTCACTCTGCAGTTCAGGCTGGCCTTGAGCTCACTTTGTAGCCCAGGCTGGCCTCAAACTCCCAATGATCCTCCTGCCTCAGCCTCCCAAGTGCTGAGATTACAGGCATACACCACTAGTTTAAGACTTTAATCTGTTTTAAATTGATTTTTTTTTCTGTAGATGGGGCCTGGTAAGTGTCTGACATTGCTCTTCTAAATGTCATTACAATACACATTGAGCCCAGCACCACATACTGAAGACTTTCTCAGCTGTTTGTTTATGGTACTTTTGTTGAAGATGAGTTGAGATTAAATAAGTGCATTTATTTCTAGTCTCTATCCTGTTCCACTGGACTGCGTGTCTGTCTTTATGCCACTAGCCCACTGTTTTGTTTATGTAGCTTTGTGTAATATATTTTGAAGTCTGGCAGCTTCACTCTTTTTACTAAAGATTCCTTTGGCTAAATGAATTCTAGGATTTTTTTATGTCAAACATATTATTGGAATTTTAATACAATTGCTTTGAGTCTGTAGATTGCTTTGGGTAATACAGACATTGTAACATACTTTTCTAACCGATGAGCAGGGATATTTTTCCTTTTTTTTCTTCACTTTCTCTCATCCATATTTTAAAGTTTTCAGTATATGGAGTTTTCACTTCCCTAGCTAAATTTATTCCTAAATATTTTATTTTTGGATGCTATTGAGATTTTTTTCTGTTGGTTTATAGTTAGCATATAAAAATGCTATTGATTGTTACATCAATTTGGTATCCTGCAACTTTACTTAATACTGTATATTTATTATGAGAGAGTTTTTGGTGGAGTCCTTAGGGTTTTTTTAAAAGGATCGTATCTTTTATAAAGAAAAACAGTTTAATTACTTTTTTTCCAATTTGGACAGAACCAGAATTTTGTAACATAAGAAAAGAGATCTTGCTCAGAATCTGCGATCCCGGCTTCTGACATTATAATCTTTCCTTTTCTGAAAATACAGAAATTTATATTACAGTATAGGTGTTATATGTTAATTTATATTTGCCTATTAATTGTGGTAACACAGTTAAGAGTTTAAATAAGTGAACACATGGCAACTGAGATCATGATTATACCAGGAAAATATATGAAATTTGATGTAACAAAAAGTCTTATAAGGTAGTGTGCAAAGATTTTATTGTGTAAAGAGTGTTTAATCTTCTGGAACGATTTATAAGAAACAGTTAAATATTTTAACATGGGAGTAGGGTGGGAGGCAGCAGACTTTTCATTCTAACTTGTACTTGTTTATATGTAATGCTGGTTTTTAAAACCCTAACAAGCAGAGGTTAATGGTGGTAAAATGATAGATCATTTTTTCCCCAATCAAAATTTATCTCTATGAGGGCCGGGCATGGTGGCGCATGCCTGTAATCCCAGCACTAGGGTGGCTGAGGCAGGAAGATCATTGAGAGTTGGAGACCAGCCTGGGCTACAAAGTGAGCTCAAGGCCAGCCTAAACTGCATAGGGAGACCCTGTCTGAAAAAAGACAAAAAAAAAAATTTTATCTCTATGTACAAAATAACTTGTAATGTAAAAAACAAAAAAAAGCTAGTAATGATACATACTTAAATGTGAAAAATTTTTATTAGTACATGTTTGCAGAACATAATTATGACACTCATTGTGGGGAGTTGAGACAAATCTATCTAATTCTTAGTAACACTAAAAACTGCCCAGCTTTGCTTAGATAAGTAAAAGTAAAATCTTCATGCCTATATTTCAAAATAAGTCATTTCTGTATTGATGTCCGAGGTTGGTAGATGTTATTCATTAACCCTTGGTTATGTCTTCCAGCAGTTTTATCTGCTCAGGAATGGAAACCTCCTCTCCCCGCTTATGACTTTCTAAGCATGATGGACGCTGCCACGACTCCACATCCCCCCGGGAAGGCTCCAGGGTGTGTGAGGGAAACAGATGTGCAGGGGAATGACAAGGAGCAACACGAAGATAAACTGGCAGTGAGAAAAGAGCCAGTTGAAACACTGAGAATAAAGCATTGGAACAGAAATAATTGGCTTAAAGAAACGGAAAAATCGCTTAGGCCTCATAAAGAGTTATGATGCTCCAAAGTAGGCTGATTTCTTGGGGCTGTCATGTAAGAGATGAAACTTATTTTAAAAGTGTATTTCACCCACGAAGTGTACCCCAACTAGCTTAATTAAGATGAACATTATTGAGACACTTCCTTTCCTTTTCTTTTTTATACCAAACACTGCAAAATACAGGCGGACTTTGTGCTCAGTACCGTTTCTCGGGTGGAGCAGCCATCTCTGCATGGCTCACTGCTCACATGTGTTGTGTGACTTGTATTGGAAAGCTCAGCGCCAGACAGAAAGTGGTATAATTAATTTAACTTAGCTGTAGCCATGTCACACAGCTGGTGGTTGCATTTGTTTTCTTGTAGTCATGGTATTTTAGCGTATTAATAAGAGGGTACTCTTGCTTCTGTGGGATGCTTTTGATGTCATGATGAGACGCAACTGGTCCCTGGTGGTCGTAGGAGCAAGGGATGCTGCTGAATACTCTATGTTGGACTGCCCATAACAAAGAGTGATCCTGCCCCCCAAGTCGGCAGGTGATATGGAAAAGGACCAAACAGAGCTTGTAGGAATAAAAAATAGACAATAAATAAAATGTAAAGTTCATGTTAGACACAGCTGAAAAGTGGGAAGTAAGAGAAAGTTAGATCCTGGAAATTATTCAGAGTATACCAGGGACAAAAGGATTTGGACACTGCGGAGGAGCAGAGCTCATAGGAAAAATCTCTCCATCTGCCTCTCACATCAGCTTACACAGTCAGAAATTCAGTCGTCCGCACTGGCCCGTGGGGTGGGCTGAAGAGCTGGAGGAAGTCCAAGAAGCCGGAAGTTTCAGAACAAGAGGAATCAGTGATGCACCTTTAGTCTGGGGCTGACGGTCTAGAAATTCTCCAGTCACTGGTCCAAATTAAAATTCAAAGGTGAAGAATCTGGAGTCTGACATCCATGGGTGACAGCACCAGCACAAGCCACATCCGCTCAGAAGTCCAGCGTGAATGTGTTCAAGAGCTTGTTCTTCTGATTTTGTGTTCTAGCCAGGCGCCCAGGCTGTGGGATGGTGCCACCCATATTTACAGCGGAGATCTTTTCCTCTCAGTTCTCTGACCCACACGCCAGACATCTCTGGAAACACCCTTGGACATACCTACATGTGTGCTTCAGTCATCTCTCAGTTTAGTGAAGTTGACAACCAAGATTAACCGGCACAGATAAAACTCAGAGACCCAGTAATAAAGTTTAACACACGCAGTAGGAGTTTTGGAAAGACGGAGCAGGGCAGAAACAGAAGCCAAGTGAAAGGACAATTAACAGTATTTTCCAGAACAATGAAAGATACCAGTTCACAAATTCAGAAAACTTGCAAGTAAACAGATTCAATAAAAACAAATCCACACCCAACACTCAGTGAAACTGCAACATTAAATGCAAATAAAGTTTTAGGAAGTTCAAGAGTAAAAAAGATGACATTCGAACAGACAACAGTTTGAAACTGCTGAACCAGAAGACAGTGCAGTGATTTCAGCAGGCTAAAAGGGGGAAAAAACTGTTGACAGGATCTTATATCCAGTGAAAGTATGTTTTTCAAGAAAATAATAGGATAAAGACGTTGTAGAATAGCCAAAACAGAGTTGCCATCAACAATATAAGAACTTTCTAGACACATACTTCACGTGGCGAGAGGAGAACACAAAAGAGACAAAAGGAAACGAACTGCCGTGGTTTGACTGTCTCCACCAGAACTCCGAAGCTCCTGTCCATTGTGAGATACTAAGGCGGGACCGTTAGGTGGTTGGGTCTTGATCATTCGGCCCTCAGGAAGGCTTTATCCACCCCTGGGTGTATAGACGAGTGGATCAGTGGGTTATCACAGGAGTGGCTTTATCACGGAAGCTCTTGATCTGTCTGGGCTACTTGCTCCATCTTAACCATGTGGTGATACTTTCCACCATGGCTCTCGCCAGACAGATGCCAAGCAGATGCTGGCACCATGCTCTGGACTTAAGAACCATTAGCTAAATTAACTGAAGCTCAGTTATAGCCACAGAAAGTGCACCAAGATCTGAACAAAGTGGTAAATACATGGGTAAATCTGAATGAATGCTGATAGTAGAAAACAGTGCCTTGTGGGAATTTTAAAAGCAAACAATGAAGTTAACATACACAGTGACAATGCAGGAAAAAGAGTCAATGGTTAACATGCTCTTAACTCCCTTAAAAAAAAAAGGATTAAGTTACTGATTAATTTTAGGTTTCCATAAATAGGTATTTTGCAGTTTTTAGGTTATCTACTAAAAGAATGGAAAACTCGCAAACCAAGGGGAAAACTTGCAGGTATAAAATATGATGAGAGCGCCTGGGAATTTAGCTCAGCGGCACAGTGCCTGCCTGGCAAGCGCAAGGTCATGAGTTCGATTCCCGGTACCGGAAAAACAAAACAAAACAAAACAAAACAAAAAATTAAAGAAAAATATGATGAGACAAAAGAAGACAAGGAAAATAGTTGGAACAGAACATATAGGACACATAGTGCAAGATAAGAGAGCAGTTGAATCTGAGATATTAGTAAATACAAGCAAACACATCAAGTGTCCCTACGAAAACTCTGCCAGGCAGGATTTAAAAAGACAATCACATAGCATTTACAAGGGATTTATGTTAAATATACAATAACATGTAAAGTGAAAGGACAGAAAAAAGATACACTGTACAGTTTTCTGAGAAAGCTAGTCAGATAAGATACATATGAAGTAAAAAACCATTATTAAAGATAGTCATGTCATAATAATTATCAACTCAGCAGTAAGTTACACCAGCTGCAATAATAATGTATCAAATTTATGAAGTAAATGTAATAAACAAATCATGTTAGACGTTAAAGTAACTAATTGAGGGCGGTTATTGAAGATTTAAACAATGCCATTAATAAAGTTGATCTAACATCACCCAGTGGCTGCTGAATACACATTCTTTTCAAGCTCACAGACATTTATAAAAGTTGACATATCCATATATGCCTACACTTGTAAGGCAAGTGTAGTTGTTAAGAGGTTTAAAATCATATGCAACACACACTCTGCCCATGGTGTAATTAATGTGGAGATCAATAACAAAATGATCCCTAGAGATATGGAGTTAAAGAGCCAAGCACACAGCATGTGCTTGTGATAAAAGTCTGGGCAACATGTGTATTAATGGCAAAACTTGAAATTAAATCTGAC